TATATATATATATATATCCAAAACCCCGCTCATTTAGCCATATAGAGGTTGACTTACCTGAACAATCAACCAAATGACGTAGAGCGGCTTCATACTGCCCCAGCGTCTGTTTCATCGTGATAAGCCGCTCTTTTCGAAAGCTTTCAAGACGTGGATCTGACTGAAAGATGAATAGAAAACGAGTTCACCCAGCGTAGAGGGAAACACGGCGAAATGGGGTTATTTAAATTTCACTAAAACATGCTAATTAATTAACTTTTTGGACACCTACCGAGCCGATCCTTGATAAAGAGTCGTATAAGAGGTGTTCTCTGGGTATCAGCGCCTTTCTAGAACAGACAAGAAAGTTTGGTAAAAATCCCTGAGAGCACTTGGAAAAGTACAGCAGAAAACGGACTAAGAGATAGAACTAATAGGGGCAAGCGAAAGCCAAACAAAAAAAGTCGACTCACAGGTACTCCACTGGGAACTCAAAACACAGCCTCGGTTCACCCATAAATTCCACAACATGCATCCGTTCTCCCAAAGTATGTGGAAACAAATACCGCTTGGACAAAAGATTGTCGCACACCGTGCTCAAGGTCGTTATACTGCACTCGGACTGAAAAAGAGAGATACCAGGTTAAAAAAAGTGCAACCCACCTGAGTTGTTGCATCCGAAGGTTGATGGCACCTTCGGGCTTGAATGATCACCTTCGGAGTTTTGCCATTTAGAGGTGATTTCAAAGCCAATCCAGTCGACGCATCGCAAACGGACAGCTCTAACGCCTCACCTTCAGTAATACGACTGACTGTTGTAACGACAACGCCAAGTCGTATGCCCTAGTATCAATAAGTAAATGAAAGAAAAAGAACATAACGAATGAGGAAAACATTCGAACTAAATCGTAACTATCGGTGACAAGAACCATTTGAAAGCTGAAGAAGTGTTCGCGGTAATTATTTTCTTCCGGTTCGCGAAGGAAAAATACTTGGTCACGTGTGCTGGGCTGACTAAGTAAGTCGGAGAAAGGTAGCGGTATCTGCCTGAAGTACAATATGGTGAGGAACTCATATCGAATAAGCTAACAGCGGTATTGTGCCTCAGACAAGATACTGCTTCTATAGAAGTGATATATCGGAGGTGGACTCAAGCCAGGGAATTTTCTGAGCAGAAGCTGATTCACACTCTGTATCCCCGACTTTTTCTCAATATAAAAATGCTATAAAAATGAAAATACTAAACATCACCGGCAAAGTCTGTCTCATTCATGACTCCATACTCAGTTTGAGGCAAACGTATCTGCCAAGTGTTGAAAATCCCGATAATTCCCATCAGAAACAGATATTCTTCCCACGCCTGCAAATGTGCATGGACTGAACACAAAGACACAACGGCAAAGTAAAGTCGGCTTTCGTGTCCAAAATGATGAGATCGGATCCATTTGAAGATGTGTAGAGCTGCACCGGCTGCTTTGGTCGTGGTAGAAGATCGGACAGGAACGCTCATTGCCTATATTCGAATGCCCCAAAAGCAGAGTTTCTACCCACTTTCAGTGCATCATTAAAACAGCCGATTCCCACTGAGAATACACTTTTCAAAAGAAGCCGATGTGGTTGCATAGATTTCGTCAGTTAACAACGCTTCAAGCCCCGGCAACATAGTTACCCATTTAACCATTATGCCCAGTTTCTCCACACCCAAGATTCCGAGGACTTTTGTAATTAACTCATTCCAAAATAAGGCGGAAAGTATTATTCGAACGTTTCGACTACAGTCCTGTTGAAAACCGTTGTAATTCCGCTCTTTGCGTAATCTCCAGATAGATGCTTTTTCCTTCCAGCGTTTCCTCTACAGATAAACGATTCCTATTACACAAACTATGTTCTCCTGGATTTTCTGCATCCTCGTTCAGTTGGTTGAATTGAAAATTTATAGTTTACGACCGTTAGGACAGGTACTGTGAACGCTTCTCAGCCAGAACCAACTTGCCAGTTGACCCACCCAAATGCGCCGTTTTTTTTTCTCGTATAGGTGACAATGTGGAGCGTATATATGTATTCCCTAGCACTACCTGCCCCAAACATTCAGGAATAAGTTTTCAGTGTCCTAAATTAGCCATACCTTCATTGATAACGACACGCAGTAGGCTAACAACTGTTTTCAGGTTGACACTAAGTGGCTAGTACATATCGTATTTTTATAAAAACGGAAAAACGCACACAGAAAATGAGTGCAAAGTAAGGAGAAGAGGAAAGTCACTCAGTCATTTATATACCTTTGTACATGGGCGCATACAAATTGCTGTTTGATCTGGGAGTTCATTAGACCTATCCTGAACATGTATACCAGTGTAGCAGGATAGTCTTGATTAGCCTTGTCTGTTTGTCAAGACAGTGTCCACAGCCTAAAAAAATTGATTCAGCTGTTTCTAGGGTACATGTGCGTATAGACTCGAGTCAGTGGTGAGCGACATTACGTATGACTTTGAAAGTAGTGTTCACATCTACCCTATAGTCAATCACATGAGCAACAACGCGCTTCTTGGTGATCCTGTGCTGTTATCTGTTGTAGACAATGTTCACGGATAAGAGTAGCAAACTGATAGGAAGCGTCACAGACGCCCCCGAAGTAGTGAACAACCATGGATGAGGCCAACACAAGTGGCTTGCCCCTGTTATTGGGCGGAAATTTTGGACAGATTTTAAAAAATACTTCACATGGGCAATTTGACACCGTTAATCCATCTCATTAGTATCTCACGTTAGAACGGCACATTGAGAGACAAGATATTCTCCTCCACTGTTGAAAAGCTCTGCAGTTTTTGGTTAGATTCTGCTGCGGGAAACCATCGTCTCGGAGTGGGCTACGCATAAGGTCTAATTTCCTTTGCAAAGTGTTGCTTCAAAATACTACTATATTTTTCGACGCCGGGCACATAACTGGATTCCATTTCTATTTAAAAGAGATCAAACTGACGAACTGGCGAACTGTCCAGCTAAAATCTTTCTGCGTAGTGTGCGCCTCGGTAGCCCAGTAAGCGACTTGGGATCACATCAATGAAGAGGAATTATTTACTTTCTTTATTCTCTACAGTGAACGATGGGCACTATTAAATCTTCCAGCCAACCTCTCAGGGTCATGGTCATCATCGGCCCCACAGAAAAAACCTACGTAGCGGTGATAATGGCATGAATCATTGATGCAATACTGTGGTTGGTTGCGTTCATCCCTAGACATGGAAACACCGGCCCAGAAGAGACCAAGTGGTAATCCCAGTTCATACCATCTCTTTGTTTATTGAGATCACCACTGAGAATACGCTGCAGATGCACCAAGTCTACAGGTACACCATAATAAAATAATGAAGGAAGTAAGCGGTTTCAAGTAAAGGACATCAGTAAAAAAGTGAGCCAACATCACCTGAAGACACCTTATCTTCAACATTAAAATCCCCAACTTTGTCAAGAAATTCAGAGCAGTCACTTGAAATATGCTTGAAGAGGCATTACCTGACAGGTTCAAAAACGTCCACGAACCATTTCACCACCGAGAGGTAGAATGAGCCTGTCATGGACAAAATCGGTGGAATGGTGATGCCATATTCATTTGTTTATTCGAGAATTCCATAGAGACCTGAGTGTGGAAACCACTGGTGTAGCTGTATCGAAGAAACTAAAACTGATTATTCCATCATTCCGAATTGAACGCAGACTAGGTGGTAATTTGACATCCAGTGTATACCGTTTTTGTCTCTCACTCCAGGCACCTTAGCAAGCTTTTTAATATCCGCGAACAATGCGCACAGCTTATCGATATAACCCGACCTGTTTTGAATAAGGATGCCAGAGCCCATGTCATGAGGGGATAGAAACAATGTCTTCGTACTTCCGTAGCTAGGGAACTCTCCCTAGCTGGGCGATTTCTGATCACAACGACTGACTAAGGTCGACTGGAAATTTTCCAGCTCGTCATCATCACTTTGGGGTTGTTCTCAAGGAACAAAGTTTACCACAAACTGTTCACACTGAAGCAAATCATTTACCAAGCCTCGTGAAACTAGAAGAACCTACAGTCCCTTAGACCAGGGTTCCGAATTAAGTTCTAGTGAGAGCAATACTACCGGTTCACCTTATAACGAGTAGTGAACATTTTTACGGTGACATACCTACAAGAATAACGGATGTAAATGTCCAGCCCCAGATAGGGAGAAATTTTTTCTCTTGAATGGGCCCGATTGCATCTGGTCAGGTCGAAATGTGTATTTGAATAAGACAGAGAAGTATCACCACCAAGTGAATTTCTGCACAATTAAGCCAGACGGGGCTTACCAGCTCAGATTTCATATCACGCAAATCCACTAATTCCAACTGCAGACGACTCTTTTCATTCAAAGGTTCCGAACGGAGGTAAATGGTTTTCATGAAGGTGGGACTGGAGGATTTCTAAAAATCAAGAGAGAGAATATGGTTTGAAAAAAAGTGGAGAGAAGCAGAGGTATAGTAAGGCAATTAAATTCTTCGTATCTTTAAGGACAGCGTGATGACTGTAGTCCAATCGTACCCTAAAGTCAGGATGTTATCACCAAGACAGCAGAAAACTGGCACTGGTGATTAGTGTTTCATTTGTCCCATAAAATTCATGCGATGCAAGGGATCGCTATGACGAAAGGAGACGATGCTATTGCTATGGGAGCCCAACCATTGTGAGGTGCACTCACCCCCAAGTAAACAATCGGTCCACCGGACTGCAGCAAAATTCTCACCGAAACCGGTTTTACATTAGATTCTGCGGTGACTCTATACAAACGAGCCATGCGAAGATCACCGTGGAAATCAGCACTGCCAGAACCTTATAGAAGTATATATTCCAGTCATATTTCCCCAGCTGTATGACACGCTGGCGTTGTCTAAAGATGGGAGTGAAGTCCTCAGTAACGTCTTTTCTGATCTGTTTTCTGGCATTTAGGAAAAGGAGTCTGTCCCAGACAACTGGGGAGAGTCGGTGATAGTGCCCATTTTCAAAAAAGGGTCTCGTATTGAATGTAGTAAACACAAAGGGATCAGATGTCCCTGGCTGTAACGAGAATGCTGGCTCACTGGTGCTTCGTCGCCTTGTGATGACTCGCGAAACACTGCCTTGAGAGTAGCAGGCGGAATTCCGGCTTGGTAGGAGTTACAGTGACCAAATCTTCACCCTGTCCGGTGGTAGAACAACGTCATACGTACAAACGACCGACAATTTTAGTATTCCTGGCTTTCCAAGGCATAATTGACTAAACTGACCGGTCTGTGCTTCTTGACATATTCGCTCACCAAGGAATGCCTCAGTAGCATTATTGTAATTTACAAATGAAATTATCTCGTCACATTCAGAATCTTTTGAACGGAATAGATAAGTTTATAGAAGTAATGCGGAGGTTAACCACCAGTAGTCTCACATTGGCGCCCATGGGGGTTGTGTGACGGTCTTTATTTTATCCATGCGGGCACTTATTATTCAAAGCACACCCGTTCCCAATCCTCATCGAGTAAAATGTATTCATTCTTCAGCCTCCCTCTAAAAGCGGAGTGACTGTCCACCAAAAAAATCACTACCTAAACGCTGCTCGACATTGAGGAACAATACACACAAAACGATAAGAGTGGTAGGTAACTTGCAAACCTGAATTGTTCCGCCTTTGTAAACAGCGTATTTGGAGATATGTTAGATTGTCTACTCTGGTTTTCAAATTATATGGCTGCATAAGACGGATAATGGTGCGCATGGGTAGTGCTTTCGTATAGGTGTATTATTCAGAAACCCATATTAATGGGACAAATACCCAACTAACCGCTAATTAGTTCCATGAGCTGGACAGCTTAGTTACAAGGGTTTCATCACCAGTCGACGATATTATCGGTATGTCAAGTAACGGAGCGATTCTGTACATCAGTGGGAGTACTCTAACCCAAATGGTTACACAAAGCTGCCCTGGCTGTGACTCATGGGTGGTGCGGCTCTTCGCACACGCTATGGGGTTCGGCTGCACAACTTTTTTCACGTGACCTGAAAAGTAGCGGAATCAAAACTTTCAAATGGAAATTTTTGGTTGCATGGCTACCATGCAATCAGGAGGAAATATGATAACTGAGGAACTTCTGGGTCGTCCAGGCGTAGAAAAAAACAGAAGAGCTAAACCTGAACCAAGTATCTTCTTGTCCAGTACGCCATCCCAATCCCAACTGACCGACAATCAGACCCACCGGTTGCTCATTTCAATGGCCTCAAAACTGTCTCCTTCTGTCCCGTCTTGTGTCCTACAATTGATCAAAGGTAGCTTCAATAGTTACACGTTGTACAGTGTTACCTGGCCTACGCCGGATGCTTCTGCATATTTTGATGTACTTATGGTTTGAGTCTGGGTTACAAAGCCAAAAACGAGAGACAATTCACAAATGTAGAAAGGTGGAGTGCTCACCTCTACAACTTCAGTGGTGCCAACACGCTTCCATCCAGAATCCGGTGGTGTACACAAGGAAAGAATAATGTGTACATTCGGAGTGCTTTCTGGCTCCCATGCGAGATCCCTGCAGCCTACGGGGATTCAGACGACAAGATAGTCACACACTAAGTATGAGGTAGTACAGAGATGAAAATAATGAAAGAGTTGTAACAGGTGAGCTCAAAACCAAGAGTTCGGTAGAATGCAGAGAACAAAGTGATTAGATATGGCCGCTAACGGCTAGGTCTACAGATATCACGGGAACAGGCGGACGGAAATTCTAGTGGAAACATCGCGCGAATCTATCCCCAAAAAGTGGAAAAATGAAAATCGGAACAGTACCAGAAATGCAGTCCGAGACAGACGTTTTCCGCGGCTGGACTAACTACTTGGCAGATTGCTTAACAATCTCTTAACACTATCAATGACAGTAGCAACGTACAAGATCATCGCTCGACTGACACGTAACCATTACAATTTAGTTCAACTAGATAAAGTCACTTACTTAGGCTGATTTCAATGCCTTTTAAATCAGACGAACCTAAAACTAAAGTTAAAAGATTATGTTTGGACACGGCGAGGAAAATACCTTCGTCGGTTACGGAAGGCTTTTCGACTTTATGAATGGTGGTGGGCCCCGAATCCAACGGATCACGTCCAGTTGAATTACGAAGTTCATCCCGGATGAGGCCGATTCGTTGTAAAGTTGGTGCTAATTGTGCTGCAACCAAATGTTGACACCAAATTTCTGCCTCGGTTTCCGACCTCGCTATGAATACAACGGCCGGATCCCCTGCGTCAAATTCTAACAGTAAAATCATAATATTAGGGCATACCAATTCGAAATGCGTGGGGGATATCTTCTTCTTTGGCTGGCGCTACAGTAAATCGTTCCAGTAGAATCACTCCCTCGACTTCAGTACTTTTTCTGTCAGGTGAGCGACATAGTACCAATATGTTTCCCTTCAAGCGACACCAGTGTTCTGAGAAAACTGATCGGAACGAAGAATCACATGGAAAACTTAAACTAACCGACACCACGTCTCCGGCGTGAGTCGATCTTCTGTCTGCACAAGAGGATGCCCTCAAATGTGGAGTTCCACTGCAGCGATACTTCGCCAAGCTCCTTGTAGTTCAGCCTAATGAGAACGAGCCATTTAAAATGTCGAATAATCACGCCCCATAATTCCAAAAACCATACGAAGCAAACTCACCTCATAATGGGTCCGAGGGTCCTGCTCAGCCAGAAGCTGGCTTACATTACACTCGGTGAAGGCTAAAAAACGGGGAAACAGCACGTTTGTGGAATCAATTATGGTTGACGTGGTAAAAATTATCCACATGATTCAAGATAAGTGTTGGATTATTAAAGTTTGTGTCCGAGGTTACATTACACGAAGGCTAAAAAACGGGGAAACAGCACGTTTGTGGAATCAATTATGGTTGACGTGGTAAAAATTATCCACATGATTCAAGTCAAGAGTTGGATTATTAAAGTTTGTGTCCGAGGTTCTCGTCTTCTTACTATTCGCCGTGCTAGGAGTCTGTATCAAGCAACATAGCTGGGGATAGAGTATTGCCACAATCCGCATTATCATATTGTTTGCTCGCTGCGTGACCGAACCGTAACATATTTGGCGACGCAAGATGGAGGCAGAACAACTCAAAGTAATGTTTGAGCAACAACTGCAACTCATCAAAGTACTTACGGAGCGACTATCAACTACATCTTTGGCTTCACCGGCGGCGTCGAGTGTCCCACAGTCGGTTGATGGAATCGCTGGCAGTATCAACGAATTTTGCTATGAACCCTCAGCTGGCATAACGTTTGATGCTTGGTTTCGTCGCTATGAAGACCTGTTCAGGGTCGATTTTTCACTTCAAGATGATAGTTGGAAGGTTCGCCTCCTGCTCCGCAAACTTGGACCCGCAGAGCATGATAAGTACGCTAACTATATTCTGCCAAAAAACCCGCGCGATTTCACTTTTGATGAAACGGTCAACACGCTTTCACAAATATTCGGTGAGCAAACGTCACTTTTCAACATCCGTTATCGATGCATGAAGCTAGTGAAGAGTGATGCAGACGACTTCCTCACATATTCTGGCATCGTGAACCGAGAATGCGAACGGTTCAAACTCGGATCGTTAACGGAAGATGAAGCAGACCACGAGGTGGACAGCGCAGGACTTGTCAGAAAGACGTGAAAGAGAGCACGAAGAGTTTGGGTGTTGTACTCCTTCAATGATGGGGTCCCCGTGACCCCATTTGTGTTTGTCTGGAGACGCTGCAAGGAATGGTGGTTAATCGATGTCAGTGGCCTTTGTGTTGTCAGATTCTTTAGATTGTCTGATTGAGCGTTCGGAGGTGCACGCACCTCAGAATGCGTGACATAGGCCAGCACTAGGTCCCCTCCCTCATCAACTCTTTTTCTCTTCTTTTGAATCTAGGGTTTTAAATATAATTAGACGAACCTTGTGGTCGTACGGCAGTGAAGCAGCAGCGTCAACATTGATATTGCTGTTTTTGATAATGATGATGATGATGGGCTCGAGATAGCTCAGTGGTAAAGGCGCCAGCTTACGGACCGGAAGGTCCGTGGTTCGAATCCAACATCAGTATCTTAACTGCTCCTGTTTCCATAATCCCTAGTGCCTGTACCTGGATTGTAAGTGGTGTGTTTACTGATTGCACGTCCAGTAGCATGACCTTACACACATGCAAAGTGCATATTTAAGGGGCGGAGGACTTTGATTAGTTTATCCAAAGGCGTCTGCGCCTTCTGCTCTTCGAAGACTAGAAGCATGTCGTCTGCATATTATAGATGGACGAGATAGCTCAGCGGTTAGAGCGCGAACTTACTGACCGGAAGGTCCGAGGTCCGAATCCGAACTCTGGCTATCTTGGTTTGAGCAACCTGGCAGTATCCCAGATCTCATGCCTTCTTCCGTTGACATGGGTGCATGATATGAATGCCCAATGTGGACGACTAAGCCCGAGAGAAGCACAACTAAGGGGTATATTTGAAGTCAATGCTCAGCGCATGGATAGCGTTGAGCGAGTGGTTTAGTTGTGTGCACATCATTGTCTGTTCCCAGCCAGTACGAACTTCCAGAGCAAACACTCAGATCGAGTTGCTTGAGGGCCTCAACCGCAAGACGGTTAAGGGCACAATTGGACCATGTGGGTATCAGTTACCTGGGTACGCAACTTGACTCTGATTATGCTACCGTGCGTACCCGGTTACCAATTCGCTTCCCGTCAGCATTTGTTGGGGATATCAATATCCCCCAGAAAACGCTGTTTTTATGTGTGCTAGCGAACTCCTGGCATCTTCAAGGTCAAACTATGAAAAATCAATGGCCTATTGATACTCCAAGGAAATTTAAATCCGACCACGTACAGGATACCATTCTTTCCACTGACTTGGGTTCGGAAGCTCCGGGCATCGCCTGTTGATCGTGTGTTGTTGGATTATTAAAGTTTGTGTCCGAGGTTCTCGTCTTCTTACTATTCGCCGTGCTAGGAGTCTGTATCAAGCAACATAGCTGGGGATAGAGTATTGCCACAATCCGCATTATCATATTGTTTGCTCGCTGCGTGACCGAACCGTAACAATAAGATAAACAGTATGGCTGCAACACGTGGATCCACGAACTGCAGCCAAGAGAGAGAAGCTGACTATGCAAATCGACTAGTGTTTTTACCTTTTCCCGGTCGGAAAGTGCAAAAGAACAAGCCAACCAAGCTTGTGAGAAGCTATAACCAATCAAATCAAATTAAGCTTGGGTGCACTTTCAAAATAAAACTGCTTCCTTGAGATAATATCCGGTTTGAGTGTTGCAATCACTCCACACCGATAGAGACAGTATTTTTCTCTTTCATCATCATCAGCGTAAGCACCATCGGCGTTTACACTGATGTATCTGTGCCATACACCCACAAAGTTTACCCGTACTTAAAGCCTCAAAGTGAAAATAGAAAACGTGGATGAGTTAATAACCTCGTTGCAGCTTATCGCAAGTACCTAGACCCTAAAGCGCTGAATCAAAAAATCTGGAGAAAAACTGACAGCGCAAACGCGACTGGTATCTATCAGTCGCCACTTCTTGCAGTCTCTAAACGCAGGGGGAGTCACGGGAGCTCAGCGCGGAAGGCGGACCCCAACAACAACGCCCAAACTTTCTTTAACACTTTTTGTCAAGTCAAACGCTGCCCACCCCGCAGTTTGCGCCATTCCGGACGAGCAACACTCGTCTCCGTGGACGATGCTTAGGCATCCGACACGATAAAATATGCAATCGGACACTTCTGACGATGGATAGGGGCTCTATATTCACAGTCAACGTTTCTGTTAAAGGCTGAATGTCCGGATTGGAGATAACAGGTAGCAAAATGAATTGTGCTCAATGGTCCAAACGTTCGCCTTCGTTGGATATCAGATAGTTATCCTGGTCTTTGATGGATGCACTAACAGGATTCCGAAAACCAGTCGAAAGAATTAAGTGGAGCCGTCTGCAGACGCTTCTTGTATTTTCCACTTCTTTCATTCGTTCGGCCTTTTAAATCTGTCAACCAGTAGATCTGCACGGACCGTCACTTTCGCCTGGGCTTAGAGCTAGTAGTTAAATTGGACATACAGAAACTACAGCTGAACGTGAGATATGGTGAATAAAGCTGAAGTTCTGGTGCTGGAACCTTTGGGTGGGATAGGCTAAAAGTGGAATTGCGGGATAGCGTCAGAGGTGTCAGTGGCAGCATGTTTTCACTTACCCACCGACCTCTGCATCTTGGCTCCCCCTGTCCAGGCTGGAGCAACCTGGTGGTGTCCCAGCCCTCGTGCCTCCTTCGGGTGGCATGGCAGCCAGGCGCCGAAAGGATGCTACAGCCGCCCACCCAAGTATGCAGAAAGGTGATCCCGCCGATGATACCACGCGACGGCCGATTAGGCGCGGCAATAGTTTAGTTGTGATGCTCAAGGTTGTACGAGGTAAGCAAACCGCCAAACTGTGGGAAGCTACAGTCTCTTTACAACTTAGACACTGTTCTTACAGTAGAGACACAGCAGAAATGCTTGAGCGGAGCAGCCAGACAAGGGCCTATGCATCCTCCTAACAAACTGAGGCGACCCACTGGGCAACTCAATTCAGCCTCCTTCCAGGTGTATATAAGCAGTATTTGCATGTCTACGGAGAAAACAATGCCACAACCCCCAGAGGACAATCAGTGCTGAAGACCACAATAACCTCACAATGCTTGGCAACAACCGCTGTTGTTTCTGAAGACTAAAGCTCTAGGTTGCCCTCAAGTGCATATCCCTCAGTCTCGTTCCAGAATTCTTACCAGCAAACCGTCATGCAAAGTGTCGACCAGGGCCCGTTCGCATGACTGCTAGGTGCCTCCCTCATATAAATTTCGGACTCTAACTTCGTAATGTCGACGAAAGATCCTGAAAAATTGACCTGAGATGATCATTCCTCACGGAAGGCTCACAAGTGATCAAGTTACGTAGCCCCTCTGTGGAAGTGAAAATCTACTAAGATAACAGTGGTGGTTCGAGGAAACTCAAAGAAACTCGAAGAAACGCTGACGCCCAATAATTCAGCGAGTGTGACGAAATCAGATGAAGCACCGTCCTAATTTGGCGGCGAACATAGAAGTCAGTACGACGAAAATGAAAACCATGACTTCGCTCAATGCGATCACCGTGGGAGCCAAGGATAGCATAACATGAACTATCCACAAATTCTATGCCTCTCGTGACCTTCGTTTCGTGCACATCATTAAGAATCTAGATAGCGGAGATGTAAACTCAATATTCGTCACCAGCGCCTCAAGATCACCAAAAAATACCTATGAAAAACCTCGTCTCTTATACTGATGTAGTCAACGAAAATTACAAGCACTCCAAGCTAGGCGCAACGACCAGCATCGCCTAATGTGCTTGATTGTCTGGACAGGCCATTAATCGTTGCAGGATACGGGCATCTAGACCCTGGTAAGGCAGGGTCCAAGGATGGCGCTTCAGATGTTTACGGCCGGTAGCTAACACCTGACAAATCTCGAAAGGCGGCAGTGATCAGACACTCGATTTATCCAGCTCAACACTGCATGATTCCACGGGAACCACGAAATCTCAAAACCATTCCGATGGCCACAAGAAAGTCAACGATGTTCCGTTAGTCTTGCGGCGAATTACACCTCTCAGAAAAGCCACCAACGCACTAATTGCAAGAGCTATGAAGGATATCGTAGAAACAAGCTCAAGAGCTTTC